GGCCGCCCTGTCGGCGCCGCTGAGGCCAAGGACGGACACACAGTCTGCCCTCCCCCGCTCACACCGGGATCATGACGGTCCCCAAGGAGATGCCCGAGAAGTGGGCCCGGGCCGGGGCGCCTCCCTCCTGGAGCCGAAAGAAGCCCTCTTGGGGGACAGGTAACGGGAGGCAGCTCTCCTGCGCCCATTATTCCCCGCTCGAATCCCCACATCCACTTGTCCGCAGCCCCCCAACCTTCCCTGATCTTCCTTCCAGACCCGGAGATCCTGGGTCCGAAGGGTGAAGTCCCTGCCTTCCTCCTTTGCATGGTCTTTGGTGATGGATTGCGCAGAGGGCTCCGCCAAAGGGGCCCACTCTAGGGAAGTTTGTGGGAATAAAGTGGCTTGGCAGGCAGGGGACGCTGTGGCCTGGAGTGTTGTTACTGCAGTGTGCTCTGCAGGGGTCTTGGAGGGGGAACGGAAAGGGGTCTGGAATGCTGTGTTGGGCTCCTGGACAGGTTTAAGGCATTATGTTTCCTGCCTAACCCAGTTACCTAACCCTCTTATGGCATGGGGTTGTGGCAACCCCAGGAGATGACGGGCTTGGGAGCCCTTCATAGCAGCCCCTTGTTCTGCGACCCCAGCTTGGTGCCTGCAGTCCCCGACCTGCAGGAGCTCAGGATAGATGTCGCTAGATAGGTGTCACTGACTGACAATTGAGCCCTTTCAGAGAAAGCGTGCAGATGGTTCAAGAAAGCTTCCAGCCAGAGAGCAACTGTTTCAGTTACATTTCATTCCTCCCTCCTCCATCTCTGTCTCAGTCTGCATGACCCATATCTCTGACCCGTCCCCCCACTTGAAGATGAGCTTTGAAATAAGGTGATGTCATTGTGGGCCAGTCAGAAGCTGCCGCTGGTGACATGTGACGAGCTGAACCTCCTGCGGGGGGATTGCACGTGGGGTTGGGACGCTGCTGCAGAGCAGCTTCAGGGCACAGTGACCCTCCTTGCCACCTACCCCGCCCCCCTGGTTAGGGAGAGAGTCTACCATGGCTAGGCCTGCAGTGGCCCCCAGGGGGAAGGGAGCCTTGCGTCTTTACTACTGCTCTTTGATTATGACGATGGATGCTTTTAGTAATAGTCCCCAAAGGGTCTGGGGATTCCCAGGAATATTAATGGCTAAGATTCCAGGTGGGGGGCAGGGGGGAGAACTAAGTGCTCCCAGTGGAAGGCCTTGCAGGTTGGTGGTGGGGAAAAGCGGGCATCGTCCTGGCCTGTGAATATAGCCTGCAGGGCCCTGTGGTCAGGCTGGCGGTGAGAGGTGGACTAGAGGGAAGAATGTAAAGGCTCCTCCGGCATCGCACTAGCTCCTTAAAACTTCCCTAAAAAGAACTAGGGAACCCCATGCTGGTCCAGCCCTCAGTGTGCCTCTCCTGACTGCAGCATCTTTGTGTTGCAGAAGAAGAAAGGCGGGCGCGGGCTAATGCCCGGGAATACAATGAGAAATTCCAGTACGCGGTGAGTGACTCTCGGCCACCTGCGCCTGCTCCCGAGTGGGAGAGGGGAAAGGTAGAGGGACATCCTGGGCTGGGACTGAGGGCCGAAGGGGAGGAGTGCTTGGGGGCGGGGGAGGCGGCCTCCTCTGATAGCTCCATCTGCTCCTGTACTGAATTTTTCATGCCTTCTCCTGTCAGTGAAGCGGAATCCCTGGACCCCATGGGACTCCCTCTCACCGCCTCCTTCCCTCTCCCACACCTGTGTTTCCTGGCTTTGAGGACAGAGGTTTGGGGAAGGATGAAGAAGGTTCTGGGTTGGGGTTGGAGGCTGCCTCATGCTCTTCTCTCCCACTGCCTCAGAGTAACTGCATCAAGACCTCCAAATACAATATTCTCACCTTCCTACCTGTCAACCTCTTTGAGCAGTTCCAGGAAGTCGCCAACACCTACTTCCTGTTCCTTCTCATTCTGCAGGTGAGTGACCCTAGTAGATTCTTTGCAACTCACAAAGCTGAATAAAGCCAAGCATGCGGACGGTCTGGGGGCAAGAAAGCACGTGTGGCCCTCAGAGGCAGCTTCTCTCTTCTCTTTTCAGTTGATCCCACAGATCTCATCCCTGTCCTGGTTCACCACCATTGTGCCTTTGGTTCTTGTCCTCACCATCACAGCCGTCAAAGATGCCACTGATGACTATGTGAGTTGTTCTCCTTCTACCTCTTCCCAGTCACCTGCCCCCACTCCCACCTCCACCTCCTACTCACGGCCACCTCCACCCAGCATGACCCATTGGTGACCTTGATATCCCTCACCTGGTCCAGCTAGATCCGTGATATCTCTGCTGAGGCTAGGGAGGAGTGGTCCGTGGGAGAGCTGGCCTGTGAACAGTTGTGTGTGAGGCAGCGTGATGCAGTGTACTCTGAGCTCCTTGGTCATCTTGTTCCCTTGGGCGGGAGAGGATGTCTCACTTTTCTGTTTCTTCTTTTCAGTTCCGCCACAAGAGTGATAACCAGGTGAATAACCGTCAGTCTCAGGTGCTGATCAATGGAATGTGAGTGCCGTTGGAGTTGAGGGTTCTGGGGAGGAAGTGGAGTCCCCGGGAACCTCTGTAACCACTGACAGGCTGTCCACTGTCTGCTCATTACCTCAGACTCCAGCAAGAGCAGTGGATGAATGTTTGTGTTGGTGACATCATCAAGCTAGAAAATAACCAGTTTGTAGCGGTAAGAGACAATGCACCCCCTGAACCTGCAGGGCTCTTCCTCTTCTTTGGCAGAAAGGGATGTGTCTTTCCTGATTTACTGTTCCTCCTTTTTTTTTTTTTTTTTTTTTTTT